CGACGTCTCTCAGGGACCTGCAGGCCAAGGCCAAGGCTGCTTTGTGGAGCTATGATCCCCTTCCAGGGCAAGGGACTACAAGCAGGGTGCTGCTTCTGAAGTGCGGTCAAACCTGAACCAGCAAACCAGCGGAGAGAGTTTGAGAGTACGAGACGACTCTGGCAACCCCCTCCCTACTCCTGCAGATACTCTGTCGGTGGGATGCTGCAACCGTGTTGGCAGCATGTCTAAACCGGTCACAAACCGGAGATGACCAGAGAACCACGCAAACAAACTCTCGCGAAACGAATCTCGGCTCGACTATAGAAGGGCACAACACTTTCCTTCCATGCCAAATTCGGCAAGCAGAATGGCCGCGTAAGGTCGATGGAATCGTGCTGCGGAAGGCAAACCAGAGCACTGACTACCTTCTACTCAGTCTGGGATACTGGCTCTCGGTCGTTGCCCATGGCAGCAAATTCCAGCAATGGCGCTAGCACCTGCAGAGCTGCATGGGCTGTCATTAGTTGTTCAACCACTCCGGGGATGGGTCAATCTGAATAGTGTCTGTAAGTTGTCCGACTTCCGACATGCGCGGTCCTCTCTGACATCGGCCCGGTGCCGGGCATCATTCTTATTTGCTGTTGTCCCAGACGAATGCTCGAATTGCCACAGCAACCTGTGTTTCAAGGCAGTGCCCATGCCCTGAGAAGCTTGGATCCCCTGGCCGTGGCACCTTCTCCTCCGGCCACACGTCCAACAGTCGGGCTGCGGCTTCCGACACTGAGCCCTGGGAGAGCGATGCGAAAGCGAGATGTGCGAGAGGTTTCAGACGAAAGGGGTACGCCATCTGCTATTGAACTGGCACAAACCTAGAAGCCTCAGGCGCGTGCAGACAAAGCAGGGGGCACTTCTGTGTCACCACTGAGGGCCCTGTCCGAGGCGAGGTTTCGACATACCGGGTCAAGGATTCCGCAGTTGCAGTGCGTTTTGCACATACGCTGCTAGGGTTCGCGAACCCCGCGCTTCATTCAGAACAACGAGCACGCCATCCAGTGCGCTTCCGAACTTTCAATTTGCATGTTGATTTATCAGTCGATCGTACAGTCAACTCGTTTTGCCAAGACGAATTTAACGACTTTTCCATTTACTTGAACCCGCCGGTCCTCAAGCCTGAGTGCCGAAGTATTCTCAAATCTCAACCTTAGCCGCTCTGCTTGGTATCTCAGTGTTCTCCGGCAGACGTTCCCGACAGCTTTGGGTTTTTCTGCAAAAATTCCTGTCACCCCGGCCCACCGAAAACCTTGAAACAGTATTGTTGCCTAGCACTTCTCCGCCGGGCCTCTGATGCGAGCTTTCCAGGAAACTTGCACGATCGTTGACTTGAGCATCGCACTTTTCTAAACCCGAATTCAGCAAAAGCCACCAGAGGTATATACTGGATCACCTGCGACATCCTTCAGTGTTGACAAGCAGTGAGGCACTTATCTGGTTTTTCAAACAGACCTCGCCAAGCAGATGTAACCCAACCCACTGGCGACTGGCCAAAAAACGGCCGTGCAAGCATAATACCACATGCAGCAGTGTTGATACTCGTGCCACACCGTCTAGCGGCGCTGAACAATGCCTCCACCTGCTGCAAGTCGGAGTTGTAAAAAACACTCACGTGAGGCTTGTTCCCGGCACCCGAAGGCTGAGTGTTGGTGGCACAGTCGCTTCAAAAATGCATGCAGCAGTGACAACGACATCCTCCCACATTGGACAGCCTGCTCCAATTTGCGCATGCGCCTGGTAAGCAAACTAATGTCGCGATTTTTCTTGCCCACCGTCCTCCGAACTCTCGGCCTGGATCTTACATGCCTCGAAGGATCGTCGACAGGGTTTGATTCGCTTGGGATGTACACCAGTCGCAGCAGGAAGGTGCAGCCCATTGCCGAAGCCGCAATCTGTCGCAACACCCCACGCAGAACTGCGGCCGTTGCATGCAGCTCCCAAGACTGCCTTCGCATCGACCAATAAGAAGCACCCTGTGGCCGTGATTTCTAGGTGACCGAACCAGCAACGTCCATCGAGCAGAAGGCCATGTACCTCCAAGATTCCGGAGTGGGCTTTCCAACGAGCCCGCTTGCTCTGCTGGCTGAAAAAAAGTCGATCAGGCTTTCCCAGGCGGTTTTTTTCAAGCGGATCGCCCGGCCAACACCCACAATCACCATGGCGATCTGCCAACTGACGTGACCCTACTTGCCGTCTCACGGGAGCATCGCCAGGCAAGCGTCGCGCGCCGTGATTTTGCATAAGAAATCACGAGAAAGGTCTGCACCGAGCAAGGGCAACAGGAAAATTGCCACGACAAGTTCATTTGCGACGGCGGGTGGCAAGGAAATTTGCTCAGATTGATTGCTGCCACGCACGAAGTCATACACCTTGTCAAACACTGAAAGCATTGGTCTTTCCAGCAAGCAAAACCACTGCGAAACGCCAAATGCTTTGCTGAGCTCCTTAGGTGAAGATGTGCGTTTGACATGGTTTGACCAGCGGCCCCACCAAGGCAGCGAAAACCCCCAAAAGTGTTGCAGAAAATGCGTCGACAGCAGGCGGGTCTGCGAACAACTCGCAGCCAAGTGCAGTCATGCTTGATTCCCAGTTGACGTCCTTGGTACAACGACGAGCAACGTGGTTTGCGACCGCACGATGGCTCGCAGTCGCAGCACATCTGGCTGGCTGGCTGCGAGCTGCATTGAAATCCACTGCCAAAAATTTCAAAGCGGATAAACAGCAATGCAAAATCACCAATCGGATGGAACAGAACTCTTCGTTGCAAAAGACGGTTTCAAGCCACTGCTCAGGTAAAGGCACAGGGAAAATATCACGTTGTCTGCCCAAACGCTGCTCTCCCTTGCAGCTGCCTCTCACGAAAGCACTGAAAACCAAATTCGTCTGCCCAAGAATGGATGCCAAAGTTTGTTCGAGTCCACTCGGAAAAAAGAGGTTGTTGCAGTGCTCGTGCGCACTGCGGCTCAGCACCATCGTCTTTGCTGAGCATTACTATTCGAAAGGACGCTTTTGGGAAGCCTGCGGGCCATTCCCTGAGTGTGCCGAAAGCTCGCAGCAAGACTCAACAGGAGATAACCCACACACCACCATCAGCACAGCAAAGAAACTACCCGGCATGCTTTGAGCATCTCGAACAAAAAGCTGCACGGAGGAACAGTTGATGCCCAGCTGCATCGGTGTCGTGTCACTTCTCAGCTGGAACCTCCCAACTCCGAACAGCTGATGCAAAAATAGGTGTTCAATCCCTCACGGCACTTATAAGCAAAATGAAACCCTAAACCCCTGAAGCCCTAAAACCGCGAAACACATAAGCCCAGTGGCTGCAACCCTTTCGCCCCTAAACCCGAAACCCCCCCCGAAAGCACGTAGCACCCTGCACGTGAAATCACCTGTCTGGCTCGTCGCAGGTCTGGGACTCTGCGGCGTGGATTGCTCAGGCAAAAGAAGAGGCGCAGCTTAGAGGGTCACTGTAGCTCCGTAAAGACCGAGCCATCGAGACCCCCGCTGCACAACCTGCCTTTCCGAGAGCTTGGACCATCAACGACGGTGCAAGTGTTCCTAACACTTGCATGGCAGCGGAGCTGACTGCTCCAACCCACGATCCAGAGAGTTGAACATCAGACGCGAAGCCTCTAATGGCATCAAGTGCAGGAACTTCACGGTCGAAGGATGGAGTTCCTCAGTGGGATGGGAACAGCGCTACGAAGCAAAAGCACTTCTGTGGCAGCACGTACCGGAGGTATATGGCGGGGCCACGATTGGTGGCCAAGCTTCAGGGCGCCGCCAAGCGCATGGTCGCAGGATGTCGCAGGCAAGCCCGCGGGGTGGGTTTCCTATCTTGGAGGAATGTGTCTTTGATGAGTCATCTACGAAGCTCTGGCAAAACCGCAAATTGCTGAAATGGCAGACTATCTGAACCTCTACTGACTCTACCTCCGCAATTCGAGGCGCCGCAGTGGGGGGTCGAGCAACGAGTACATCGCCCGCAAAAGCGAACTGTACGTGAGAGCACAGCAGGCCCTGAATCGACTTCGTCCACACCAACCTTCTTCGGAAAGCGGGAGCCCCGCAGCCTATGTGGGCTATCAGAAGGAGCAGCTGGACCTCAGATGCGGCAACCACCACCACCACCACCACCACGGTCGACGGCGGACCATGAAGATTGGTGGGGCCGACAAGCCTCCCAGGCCTATGGCAACTGCTCTTGGTGCAGCTATGGAGGCGGCTACCAGCGGTCCACATCGCGGTGGACATGGGGAGGCGGTCGCTTGGCGGGGCCCCAGCACCAAGCCGGTAAGCAAAACAATCGAGCTGTTGCCAGACCGGGTTCAAGGCTGGTACACGCTGCAGGACGCCAATCTTACAACGGGCGAGCGGAATTTGATCTTCACTGCCTCGAAAGGGGACTTGGGGTGACGGAACATAACCTCAAGAAGCGGGACCAGCACTACAAGTCTTCCGGCAAGTTCCTGAGAGAGGAGGGCTCGCTCTTGTGGCGGAGGCCGAGGACGAGACTCGGCAAGCATGGGCGGCTTTCTAGAATGGCCGTCGCACCCTACATGAGGCACGCCAAAAGAAGCATCAAGTTAGCATGTGTTGTCGGGGAATGCTAGCTCTGGCACGAAAGGACGGGATGATTCGAAGATGACGTGTCTTGGTTGTGGCAAGGTGCCAAGCCTCGGGCGCACTGCGCTATGCGGAGCAGGCCTTGATTGGAGGTTCCACTTCGGAGCCCAACACCGGACCTACGACGGTAGAGGCTGTGGCCGCCGGCATCGGGGTCATAAATGGAGGTGCAACCATAAGTGTCCCCACATGGTTCGTGCTCATGCCGCTCGAGTGTACTAACAGAGTGTGGTTAATCAGACTCACGCCACGAATGCATCGGACCTTTCTTCATCACACTGCACGCATCTCCATCGATCATGAGCTTCAGATTGCGGTCGGACCTGTCGTTGGAGCATAAATCAGATTCGGTCCGCCACATACCGCACAATGCGGTGCTTGAATAGCCCGGTGCCTCCAATGAAACAAACCAAACAGGAAGAGCTCCAACGAAACAACCTGACCGGAACAAAGTGCAGTGGATCCCTACTGTAGAGGTGCCACGGCACGCAATGTGCCTGCTGCAGGTCCCATTGCTGGGCCTGTGTCCACGCGTCCTGCAAGGCATCGCGGCTCAAACCGTCAGCGACATTGCTGTCGGAAGGCACGTAGTCAACATAGACTCGGCACCCTATGGATGCCCACAACAGGTTGATGACAAGCGTGAGTTGCGCCAAGTCTGATGCGGTGGATGCGCCTTTGATGAGGCCACTGCATACACTAGTATTGTCAATCCACCATATCACGTCCCTATTCGCCAGGTCCTGCTGGAACAGCAGCGTCATCTGCAGCACTGCCAGGGCCTCCAAGGGACTAATCTGAGTTTCACGGGGGAGGAAAGCCTGAATCACCTCATGTGGCACAGTCGTGGCATACCCCTTCTGTGCCCCTGGCGTAAACAGCACTCCACCAAGGCCTGGCGCTGCCCCGATTTCTGGCTGCCAGCTAGCGTCTGTGTATACGATTAATGGGCTTCTTTGGCATGCTCAAGAGGGGAATAGTGCGCGCAGGCACCCACTGCGTAAGAGCTGCAAGGAATTTAAGTGATCGTTCAAGGACCGGGGTAACCCCGCAATCTGACTCCTTGTACTGACGGTCCACCAAAGCACCTTGACCCCCTCTACCAATCCTCCCAAAGACAGCTGATGACGACCACGAGAATTTGCCCCTCAATTTGGCCGCCTGCGCTGGGGAACAAACTCCGAGCTCGAGCAAGGCATTGGCCTCGGCAGCCAGTTGCTCTCTCGCCCCTGGTTTGAGGTCTACATGCATCAAGCCATTCTCTCGCATCTGTGAAAAGTCTAACAGTACGCCTAAGAACAACCGTTGAACTGCCATAGGCTGCTGCTTGCCGGGATCCAAGCGAAAGCCACAAAGACTGTGCACCAGAGCCACTCCTTCCTGACCTGATCCAGCGGCTGCCACTGTGTCTAATGTGCCCGTGTCATCAAAATACGACACTGCCGCAATGGCAAGAAGTCTACGACTAACAGCGGTCGTCAAGGCGGGAATGCGACAGAAGTTGACAACTGCTGTTGCAAGGCCATACGGGTGGCCGTTAAGAACGGCATACAAAACACCTCCGACCTGAACATCCCACCACGCTACGACTAAGCCCGATGCCTCGTCTGGCCAGTTAGGGACCTGTCGGTACGCGGACGACATGTCGTCTGATCCGAAAACAAGTTGGCACCATGGTGGCATGCCTTCACTGTCCATGAGTTTGGCGAACTTGCGGGCAGCACCTGCCACTGCGTCTGGAGATGACGTGTAGATCGTTTCATCTGACCAACTGAAGCTGTTGTGCCCTGCTGCCTTCCCATTGTCGATGGGTCTGACTTTTCCGCAGCCTTGCACGTGAGCGAATCTTGGCATGGCGAGCCATTCACCTTTACCGTACTGAGCGTCGAGCTCCTGTTTAGTAAAAGGGCCTCTTGCGATGCCCTCAGCTATCTCTTTACGTGTGAACTCCGTGAGAAAGGATGAATGCTCTGTCTCTTTGAGGGCCCTTGCCACGCGACAGTTGCTCTCGTCTGCATCCTGACCGAGCTTGGCTTGGAGTCCCAGTTGTGATTCGGGCGGTTTACGGGTCACATCAAACGGCCTAAAGATGTGTGGCACTTCCACATCACCAAGCAATGCGAAGCCTGTGACGAATCTTGATGCTAGGGCAACATCAGGCCATCTCAGAAGAGCCGTGAATGCTGCAATGAGGGCTGGGCTCTTGTTGGCAGCAACCGCAGCCACACCGGGGCACATGCGGTTGCAACCACTTGGCTAATGTCTCTAGTGCTCTACGCTGCTGGCGCCTCCATGATCGTATGCATGGGCCGAGGACGTACATGCCCCTAACTGCGAAACTCATGTCGTCGTCCAGTACTACCTCTGATTCGAATGGGAATGGCAGACAAGCACTCAGCTGGGCATGCATCTCCTTACTCAACCCGGCGGGCAGTAAAGGCTCGGGCGAATGTTTAGAGGTGGGACCGCCTCTCTGCACACCTAGTGACACCGCGCTCGCGGCCCGTGCTTTCTGCTGGGCCCAGCATGGCCCTTGGTCAGAAGCCTGACGGCCTCTGAGCTGGGTGTCCACCCAGTAGACCTGCAACCGTCGGATCGCAAGGTCCATGTCATTTGAAGTGTGAAGGTCTGGCAAAGCAACCGGGATCTCAGAGAAGGATTGCCTGACATGAGTGAGCAGTGCCGCTGAAGACAGCACACCTGGCCAGGAATCAACTAAACCTGGCTGCCACACTGTACCCTGGGTTGCCCCTCCGATTCTGGCCTCAAAAGCGGCGTAGATTGGTCGGGGAATCGGCTCCGACGGCGGCATCAGAGCAGAGGCCAATGACATCACTACCATGACAGAGGGAACATGACAGGAATGCTCAAGAAGGCTGCATCGCTTGTCCTCCAGTCTTCGACGTGACTCGGTCTGGCCACAACCGCATGCACTAGTCATATCCGGCGGAAATCCCATGAGAATTGCACGTTCTCGTGCGGAGGGGACTCCTCGAGCAACAGCTTCCGATTCAAACTGATGCTCGTAGCCGCCCTCCCAAGGGGCCCTCTCTGGAAATGGTTTCTTATGATTCCATTTTACGGTCCATCTGCCCTTCGAATCCCGCTGCACTGTCGTGCGCGAGGGACTGGGTAAATCGTTCAAGGCGTGAAGGCTTGTGTGGCCATTGGTGACCCAAAAGCAACTCGATCCACGAACCCAGCCGAATGAACCTCCGTGCACGACAAGCGGCGATCCTTGCATCGCGTTGCTCGCTGCGGCTGTGAAGGCAGCTGATGGGTGCTCAACATGTTCCAGAATAGACAGAACAGGAATGGACATGCGCAGGCTCTTAATGAGTCGTCTAATGTCTCGGCTCACCCTCGGAACATACTCGAGAAGCTGGGTCGCGTCTGCATTGAGACCCTTCTGCTGGCATACTTGTTGACACGAGGACTGCCCTATCACGACTACAGACGAGAATCTCCCGGACAGAAGTGCGGGCTGAAGCAACGAGGCATCAAACGTGGTGACATCTGGCCAGTGCATGATGTGCCTAAAGCCTCCCTGTACAACTTGCACTGCCTCTGGGTCCCGCTCAATGCAGACAGCAGCGAAGTTCATGCCAAGGGCCATGGATGCGACCAATGCTCCACCAACGCCGTCAGCAAGAGAGATAATCAACACAGGCTCGTGTCTAGGAGTTGGCCATGGCAGTTGAGGCAGTGGGGACGTGCCCACGTAAGTAACGATCGGCATAGAGTCCCATGCTGGATGAGACTGCTGGGGACCAACATGGCAGCCCTGCGGTTCGGAGGAAGCCAGGACACGGGCGAACCTTGACGTGGGCGGGGATGGGATGGATTGACGGGCAAGCCGAGCAAGCTGTACAGAGCGTGCTCCTTTCCATAACCGAACACGGCCACATACAACCACCCGACCCAAAGGTGACTGCTGACGGAGTAGCCATGGCTAGCAGTAAAGCACACTGACAAGTACACCCGAAAAGGAAAAGATAACACGCGCCCCACAATGGGTAAAAGAAGCCACACGTGGGTGCAAAAGAATTTCATGCACGACGACCAATACTCAAGCAAGCACGTACACGGTTCCTACTGCTCCAGCCAAGGCTAGACGAGCACTGCCGAAGATAGCATGCAGCGATACAATGCCGACAGTTAAATCGCCCCGTGCCGGTGCTACAGCTCCTCGCCTAATGCACTCAAAGGAATGCACAGCAAGCAAAGCTATCATTTCAACGGGCTCGCCAGGTCTTCGCAAATCATGAACCCATGTCCTTCACGCTGTGCTCCATCACTTTCGCTGATGTTGCCTCCTTGAGCAAGCCAGCTTCCCCAGACATCGTGTCCAATGTAGACTTGGTAGCCTCGCTGTTGGTCGCCTCCACCATGCTCCCAATACAGCGGTCGCAACGGTGTGTGCGCAGACCAGGCGTGGTTTCGAGGTGAGTGCAGCTGCACACGCCAATTTTTGCGCGGGGCAGGCCATTCCAAGCAAGACATATCAAGCCAAGATTCGGAAAGCGGCCCCTATTGGCATTGTGTCTGCTGTGGCACGCTGTCGTATGGGACTTCGGACATAAACGGCAGCAAGCTTGTGAGGAGGTCAAGGCGATGCGACCGCATTGGGGCATCTGGCAAACGGGCATGAAGGCGGGAGCGGAAGGGCAGGAAGGGCCAAAGGGACCTTAATGGGGAGAGCCGAGACACCTACAGCACGGTAAAACAAACCCACAGACATGCACTAAATGCAACTGCAGGCAGAAACTCACGCTCGGACCCTTAATCACGCCCGTATGGACTCACGAGTCACAAGTGGAGCCCGCGCCCAGCACTTCTGACAGACGTCATCCGTGTCCTGCAGCCCTTGGCCCCGCTCCACGTGCAAGCGGGCGAAAGGAACATCACGACACTATCAATCTGTTTCCTACGACTGAGTGCAAGAGGTGGAGTTGTCCTCCGGCGCGTTGTCTAAACCAAGGTGCGTGCATCTCCATGTCTGAAACCTCGCTAGCACTGGACGAAGACGATGAAGAGGACTCAGATACTTCCTGGGCCTGCTCAACAGGCCTACCTTGTGTTTTGGTGTCAATCGGTATCATGGAATCTTGACACCGTTTGACTACCTGGGACCATTCCGGCGCATACGCCGCAACCGCCTCCCACGATGGGGAGGTTTTTGGGGGCATCCTCGAGCAAGCCATCACCAAGCCCACCAAGACCTGCTTCTTGACCTGGCCTGCGGTGGCAACTTTATCATCCGCGTAACGCACCGCCATGGCATGCGCAGCATGCTCCCTTGATTGGCCAGCCGCCTCAGTGGCAGTCTGAGGTCGTTCATGCCATCCCCCGATAGCGTCCCTCAAGTCCCCGGGCAACAAGAGCTTGTCTGCCACAGTCGGCAGAAACCGGCGTAAGGAGTAGGAGCAAAGGCCGCAAGCAGGCACAATCGCCTGAACTACAGCTCTAAGGAGCAAGGTGAATTTACCGATTGACATCTTCGTCAACAGCTTGGCCGAATTAGCTCCCAAAGGAGCGGCCCTCCCGAATGCAATATCCGGGATAAGGAAGTCTGCATGAGGGAGACGTGCCCTGGTCTCTTCAAAGTCTAAAACAAGCTGCTTACCAAGCTCGAAGCCTCCTACACGCGCTGGTGCTGCCCACTCAAACGGCGGGCGAACGTGTCCAACACGACGCTTACCCTTGGAACACACTCCACGCACCAGGTCCCCTTCCAGCCTCAGTTGGCCGGACCTTTGAACATGCGCAAAACGAAGACACGCAACCAACGGCAAGAGGAGCCATGCAACCGCCGAGGCCATAGTACCACGCAACTTAGGGGCGGCCGAGAGAACAGCCAGCAGAACCTGCACTGACATCGGTGGCTTAGGTGAGGCGCAATGACCAGGCTCCGCCACCGCCCAGTGCGCCACTAGTCCGTCCATGATTGGCAACGGCATCTCTGCAGGGCAATGCTCTGCGTGATAAGTGACCCATCGTTTAAAGGCCCTCCTATGCCCCTTTAGGGCTTCCAGTGGCACTACCTGCAATTTTCGGTCGAACAATGGTCTACTCTCGAATGGCGTCCGTACCAACTCTTCCCCAAACAGCACGTTGTGGCAACCAGAAGCGAGAACGACTTCGAACATCATGTCCAATATAGGTGTCCGCTCGTTGCCGGGGTCCGGTCGTCGGGACAAAGGCTGCTGCAGAAAACGTACCTGGAAAGGCCCTGGTAGTAGAGAGACCGGAGGGACAGCCCGCTTCTTTGGTCGGGCACCTATTGCGCAGTGGATTGGGTTCACACGATGTTTCTTTGCGATCGGTTGTTCCGGTATTTGAACGAAAGTAATCTCAGCTTCAACTCGGGCTGCACGCCAAGCTGCCGTAACCTGGGACTGGATGGCAGGATCCACGAAGGCATCGAAGATCTCAACTTCGGAAGACCATAATAAAGCCAGATCCACTGGGGTTTCGACCCCGATCCCCAGGAGTTCAGAGACTAATGCATCTGTAAGATGCGAATCGACGACTCGCCCGATCCATGGCATGACACCAGGGCAAAAAGAGTCGACTGGATTCGAGCCTCAATGGCTACGCCGAGGCTCCACACTTATAGCTGTGTTTAGCCCCTGCCCAACCAGCCATACGATAAACACAGGAACAAGACACTGGGGTCTGCACGAGCCACCGAGGCCATCATGAAGGTGAACCACGAGAAGACAGGCGAGTCTGGGTTCAAGGGAGTTGATCTCCAGGACAGGCCGGTCTTTGGACTCGCCGACGCGGGGTGAGGCAAAATGTGTTTCCACGGCCAGAGCGGAAAGCTCAAGATCCACGCGCTCAACAAAGGCACCGGCCCAGTTCTGATTTCTGTGTCAACGCTCCAGGCGCTCGGGGCGTTATCGATTTTGCGGAGGATTTGCTGGTCTTACGACGTCTCGATGCTCACAAGGTGATCCCTCTTCGCAGATCCTCCACAGGACATCAATTGCTGGACCTTACAGCCGATCTTTTTTCCTCCCCAGGTGCGAGGTGAAGGTATGTTTGGTAGGAGGGTGAGTTTCGGGGGAGCCGCAGTGTCGATTGTTGTGGACGCTTCCACAACCATTCGCAGCTGCATCGAGAACTCAGGGAATCCAGTGCATCCTCCCGGTCTTTGGTGACCCGCCTCATCCCATGCAGCGCATGAACAAGACCCAACTCCGGGAAGCCATCATCGCGACCTTCGGGTTCCG